CTTCCTTTCTCCTCATTGCTTTTATTCTATTTCTTAAACAAATGGGTTAAATGGCTTGACTCATTTTTTTCTTTTTAATTTTATGCCTTGAGAAGCTCCCAGGGAAGTGAGATACTCAATTAATTTATCCACACCACAGATCCTGAAGCAAATCATCCAAAGTTGAGCAAAACCTCCCTCACCCCTCACAGAGAGGTCAGGAAAAGGATACAGAAAAGATTTAATTGTGGAGAGAGAAAAGTTGCAAGTTATATCCTGATTTTAAAAGTATGTTTGCATTTGCATCTATAGGCAAATGCAATGTGTCAAGACTTCTTCAAAGATATAAGATTAAAACAATTATCACCTATGGCTGGATGAGAACCTAAGGTGAGGGCTAGGGATGGGACAGGTATTTCCTAGTAGTTTTAATATCTGTGTTTTCAAATCATGAGAATAATTTAAAATCTATTCAAAAATTAATATACTAAACATTAAAGTGTAAACAATAAAGAAATCTTTCATTTTAACAAAACCATTATAAGAAAGAGATAAAGGTGTGGGGTGGGGACTGATAGGAACCCGCTTGGCATCTAAGATACTAGTCACCAACCACAGGTGTTTCCTGAGAACTCTGTGACAATCTCATAACACTCCGTGTTCATGGATTTTCATATATATGCTGCCTTCTGCTTGTGGGACAAGAGGAGCAAATGTACCACTCTCCAGTTAGTAGAGAAGGAATCAGAAGAATGTATTACATATTTATCATTTTCTACATCACAGTACAATTTTTCCCATGTGGTCATCTAGCTGCTCACTAAACATTACTTTTTTAAAAAATAAACATTTATTGGGATTCGCTCTGAACTTCCATTCTTTGTCTTATGCTTCTTTGAAAACGCAACGCCTTGAACTATGAGGAATGATTTTTCTCCCTTCTTAATCATAATCTAATTTCTACCTCTACTACTCCATTAAGTCAATTTTTCTCCAAAGACCTCATTGACTCTTACAAACAAATCAAAATTTTGTTCCCTCCCCTATCTCCCTTTATGAGTTCCCTTTTGTAAAAAAAAAAAAAAAAAAAAAAAAAAAAAAAAAAAATGCCTACATCACTGAAGAATTCTTTCTACTCAACATTCAAGAATCTTCTCTCTCCCTAACTAGTTCTGCCAAAGAGGTGCCTTCTTTGTCCCTGCCTCAAAATTAGGTTACAACTTAGATCTCAGATGCCACTCTTATTCTTTTCCTTATTTATTTTCATTCTCTTGGAGAATTCTTCTGTCCAGTCTACCTAGTGGGAAGTGTAAAACAGATGGGAGACTTGAAGCCTGGCTCCGTGATTTACTAGCTGTACTGCTCAGGAAAAATGATTTCATCTATCTAAACTCAATTTCCTCCACTCAAAAATGGTGATTTGCTCATTTGTTCAACAATCTTTACTGAATGCCTACTTATATATTTCATATTATAGGTACATGAGATTCACTAGCAAACTAAACAGATAAATATTTCTTCCCTTATGAAACTCCTAATGTAGCAGAGGAAGATAGACCAAAATGCACTGTATAAGAAAATTATATGACATAACAGAATGAGTTAAGAGCTGTGTAAAAGAAAAGGCCAAGTTATACCTTCACAAAGATGGACAGGTTGGGGTAGGTTTCTCTGAGAAAGTGATTTTTAAGCAAAGACTCACAAGAGAAATGCAGGCATCTGGTGGAGAGAAACTGACAAAGGCCCAAAAGGCAGAAGCATGCCCAGAATTTTCCAGGAACAACAAAGAGGCCAGTAGAAATGGAGTAAAATGGACATGACGAAGAGCAGTTGAAAACAAGATTAGAGAGGAAACCTGGAAACGATCTCACAAAAGACCCTGAATGTAATAGCTGATTTTTAACAAAGGAGTGACATGATCAGATTTATGTTTTGAAATTATCACTCTGGCTGCTATGTTGGGAACAGATTGTAATGTTATCAAAATGAAAACAGAACAGTTAGGAGTCAACTACAGTAATCTAGGCAGTGAGTGATAGTAACTAGGCAAGAGTTGGAATTTAAGATGTTAAAACAAAAAGGATTGTTTTAAGAATCCTTCCTATATATCCATAAGAATTCTATAATTGAATTATTGTAGATAAAGTGCCTAAGAAGATGCCTGATACAAAGAAGATATTAACTCACTTATCCACTCTTGACAGTTTGCAAGTAAAATAGATTGTCTAGAAGAAGGCCAAAACTAGAGTGTGATATCCAAGTTCAGTTAACTGGGAACTGATAGCTGCCATCACCTAAAGTAGTGTTATCTTTCAGAAAGGCTATTGGAAACCATGTCTTACTGATGTAATGTGCTGGTTCTGGGTTCAAATCCTGACTTTATAATTATTAGCTATGACAACTTGAGCAAGTTTCTTTATTATGTTTTGCCTTAACTTCTTCACCTGAAAAGAAAAAGCTATCTCTTAGGACTTAAGTAGAATAAAATATGTAAAAACAAAACAAAATCAAACTAAAAACATGACAACTTAGCACAGAGCCAAATGCAAAATAAGAATTCAAAAAGCACTAGTTATTCTAGGCTAAATTACAATTCTGAAGTTGCAGGAGATAGTCATTATGACTTCTGCATTTTATCTTGTATTCTACCTTCCTTCTATCTGTCTAAATCCTGTATATCCACAAAGTCCTATCCAATGTTTATCAAATCATTAGAATTTCCAGGCAAATTCAAGCTCTGACATTATTTCTCTATAACATGATATTTACATGTAGTGAATACTGATCACTTCCTTATGGAGAGGCATGAGAACACTGAGTCAATAATACGTACTTTAGAGAATATGGACTGTCTCTCAGCCTCAGCTTCCTCATCCATTCAGAGTTAGAGGCATTCATGACTCAGGTAGTAGAGTGCCAACTTAGCAAGCATGAGGCCCTGAGTTCAAGTTCCAGTACTGCCCAAACAAAGGAGCTCATATTAGAGTTGTGTAGATTTGATACATAAACACTTAATACACAATTATTAATGTTATTATTCTGTGTGTGCCCATGCACGTGCATGTGCATGCATGCCAGGCCTATAGCTTACTCTAGTTCTAGTTGAGCCACAGCTCCACTTCCAGCTTTTTCATGGTTAATTAGACAGTCTCAGGGACTTTGTTGCCTGGCTAGCTTGGAACCACAATCCTCAGATCTCAGCCTCCCGAGTAGCTAGGATATACAGGCGTGAGCTACAAGCACCCAGATTAATGTTATTATTATCATATATTTATGCTAATTTTTTCCTCTTTATCAACTTGGACTATCTGCCATCTGTTGATTCTGTTCACATGTACTATATTTTAGTTCCTAGATCAGTGCTAGTCCCACAACAGTGTCCAACAATGATGTAAAAAACTGAGGAGTAGCTCCAAACCAGCATAAGGTTGTATAAATTTTCTTTTCTTTTCTTTTTAACCAAATTTGGGTGGCTCTTAAACACTGTGTTCTCCCCTCTGTCATAGTTTCCCAGGGAAAGAGCTAATCTCTTCTAGGGAGGCCATGTGACACATTACAAGAAAAGTGAACTAAGAGTCAGAAGACATAGGTTTGAATCCCAACTTCCCAAGCAAAAGTATCAGTCTGTCTACCTATCCAATAATTTTAGCTTGGGAAAACAACTTAAGCTCAATGAATCTCTATTTCCATTCATGTAAAGGAGGTATGACCTGCCTTCTGCCCTACACTTTGATGTGGAGCACATGGGCAGCAAAGATGGCGCTGGGAGGGGGTTGAGTGGGCAGAGCCTAATTTACTGGAGAGCACATGGCCAGGCAAGATGGCTCTGGGAGGGGTTGAGTGGGCAGACCCCAATTGATCTTCTGATCAGTGCCTAACCAGCCCGTGAGGGCTCAGGTGAATGATAGGGTGTGACCTTGACAGTGATTGGTTCTCTTCCTCCCTTACCATACCACCCACCCTTGTTGTCCTTAAAAGGGGCTGCTCTCTGTTAATAAACGAGTTTTTCTACCTGCTGGATTTGGCTCCCCGCTGTGTCTGATTGTCTCCTGGGCTGAGGGAGGCTAGGGAACGGGCGAGCGCCGCACTTACCTTTCCTCGGACCCCGTCCGTCTTTCGTGGGACGGACGAAGACCCAACACTTTGAAAACTCAGAAAGCAGGTGGAAAATTTATACATGTAAAGTGCTATGCAGATGATCATGGGCATAACCATTTATAGTCACTTATAAACATTAAAAAGAACTAAACATTGAAAAAGTAATGATGACGATCAAATTAATTGGCTCTATCTCCAATAAAGTTATGTAGAGAAGACCATTACTACAATAACCAGAATGAGTCTTGTTTTCTCTTCAGATGACTGTTAAAAGATAGATTCATAAATTTTATTATGGAGTTCAGACTTAGAATTTTGTGAAGTCTATCCTCAAAGATTCCATCACATGAAAGCATTTATTTCCAAAAGTAAGTATTTACCCAGTGTGTGAATTGCATCTCTCAGAGCCTATAGGTAATAGCATGGTAATAAACTAGAGGTCTCAGAAAGGAGAAAGACTAAAGAAAAATGAAGAATTCCACTAAAAACAGAAATGTCTGTGCTATTTCAACAAGAAGGCATTACCCATATAGAGGCTACTGCAAGGTTGAAAGCAAATAAATAAAGAAGCACCGATGATACCTAGAATATTCCACTTACATAATCCTCAGGCACTTTTGTATGCATAGCCACTCTCCTGTTTTATTTTGCATTACAGAAGTCCACCATTCTTCAAGAACCTAAGTTTTAGCAACAGCGACAGAACTGTGTACCAGGCAACTAATGCACTGAAAAGAGTAGATCCTAATGATGCACACAATGTCACACAATACAGTGATCATTGTGCTTTTTTCCTTTCTTTCTTTGGAGAGTTCATCAGGGATATAAATGATAACAACATATTTGATCAAATGAAGAAGGGAGACGTTGCTCTCCTCTTCAGAATTACTTCTAAAAAGTCATTTGGGTCAAGACTGTCTTACCTCAATTTTTTTCCATATGGCTTCATAGTTGTCTTGGTGTTGAATATCTTGCATTAGTTTCTGGATTAGAGCAGATTTTGCAACAGAATGACTTTCATTTTTCTCAGAGGATGAAGCTTTTTCTGCTTTCTCGTCGATGTATTTTTTCATGCCAGAGAGAGGCATAAACAACTCTTCATCAGAAAGAATGTCACTGAGGGGCCCAGATTCAATGCTTTCTCCCAGAGAAGAAGCTATGTCACTAGACGAGCTTGGGGACATTCTGCCTAGCCGTGTATGTTTTTTCTTGATGTGGTATGTTGGATAGATCTCAGAGTCTGAATTCATTTCCGAGAGTTCCCAGTCATCAATATTCTGAATGATTTCCCCTCTAGGTTTTTGAGGCAGAAGCTTTGTTAGATTTTCCAACTTCAAAGCTAAGACTTCTGACTGTTTAAGGTGGGATGGCAGCGCTAGGTATTCATCAGAACCATACCAGGCCTCCACAACCTGACCATTCTTGGCAACATGACTTGGAGAGGAGGTGGAACAGCCATTTTTGCTTTCATGTTTGGAAAGAGGTACTGGCGACATGGTATCGTCTGAGCCAACAGAGGATTCACTACTCTGAGTGAAAGGTGGTGAACTGGATGCTTCTGACTGCACTGGCACTTTGGCATCCCAATGTCTCTGACTGCACAGCTCAGCTGAGGATGTGGAAGCAGAATCCATTTCTGGCCCTTCTGTGACCTTAGGAGCACTGGAAGCCTTTCCATTCAGCATCACTGAGCATCTCATGTTTTCATCCTGTTTGCCTGAACCAGCTCCTAGATCAGTTGGTTGGCCTGCGGGCACTTCTTGCGAGGTCTTGTGTAGCTTTTTCAGTCGAGGTTTCTCTTTATGGCAGTCATTAAGCCTTCCCAAGCTAGAAGATATTTCTTTAATGTGACTTCTAACTATATTTTCAATATTCCCAATACCCACCTTGTGCAAACACTCATAGGACTGGCTGGCAGCAGATGGACTGTTGGGGTAAGAAGACTGTAACACCAGACAGAGCTTAGATCTGTCAGGAGGGTCCACCAGTGAGGGAGTGCTCCTGCTCATCTCAGGCTTCAGATCAACCATGCACTTCTTGCCACCATTGCCTTTCAGAATGTTCTTAAAAGTTTCTTCTTTAAGGAAAAGCCCTCTTTTTGGCAATGTGGGCTGTGTGGGAGAATCCTCGTTATAATTAAAGCAATCTCTGATGGATCGCTTAGGGGTTGTATTTTCACCCGGAAGAGGCGGTTGATTCTGTGCACCAAGATGCAGGGAGGAACTAGCTTCTTGCTTTGCATTGTCAGAAGAGTGATGAACAGCATTTGCCAGAATGTCCCCTGAAGATGACGGCCCTGGTGGTAAGTCTGATTGCTCTTTGTCTGCAAAAGCTACGTTTTCCCCACATGCACCCTTTTCCTTTGCTGAAGGAGACACTTGAGATGGCTCCTCACTGACTGCTTCACTGCAGTTTGAAGGGATGGAGTCAGCAGCTACTGTGAGCAACCCAACGCTCCGGATAAGCTCAGGGAACTCTTTTTCCATCTCACTATATTTCCAAGAGTCAAAGGGTTTGGTTTTGACCTGGCTAGAAGTCATGTCGCTCAGGCCACCCAGCAAATCCTCACTTGGACTGTAGTCAGATAGTTCAAATGCAGTAATACCACAATCCAGAGACAAGTAATTTTGAGAACATTTGATGGTTAACTGTCCCGAGTCATCCACTTCTGTTAGAGAATCAAGTCGGCCCTGAAACAGACAATAGTATTGGTTTCAGTAAAGGCAATATCAGTTACAACAAACTGCTGGTTCAGATGAAATGTCAACATAGGCCTCTATCAGAAGGACATCGGTCACAGTGGCTTCTGGTTTGATATGCAGAAACGTGTATTAATTAACTGCCACATAGTTGAATATGTGGCATTTAAAGGTTTTTCTTTAATCTGTCAGAGAGCCTTAGTAGAAATGTCCAAGGATAGTCCAAAATATACATTCCTCTCTCAATTTTCTATTTGAAAATATACCATATTCTATATATTCTTAAATAATAAAATAAAATTCTGAAATAATAAAAATCTATGAGCACAAAGCACTGTAAAAATGAAATCTTTTGTGTGTGTTTTGGCGATCACTCTAGCACTTAATGAGGTGGTTAGTACACAGTAGAAGTTTCAAAAATATTTCACAGTAAAATAATTGTGTCAACCCAATTAGATTAAATATATATTCACAAATCTCAGGAAAGTGAACTGTTGACTTTGCAAATACGTAATGAGCAGTTTAAGATCAGTTTTCCTTTGGCCTACCTTTCAAAGGAACACACAGATTATCCTGGGGATAATCTCCCACCTGTGAGTGGGAGAATTATCTTCATCCCATCTCCTTCCTCAGCATGTGTTTCTTCCCTCAGTCTGAGCCCACTGATATAGTTAGTGACCAACTGTCCATTTCCCTTATTATTTATAGCTCGAACAAGGCTTGTTTAAAACTCCTCCATACTAAAATAGCATGGCAGGTATGCATTTTAACTTTCTGTTCTTTAATTTTGTGGTTAAGATTTTTGTCTCATTGCTAATAAAAGCAAGGCGATTTGGTTTATGGAATTCTACTGTGCTTACAAAAGTGGAGGACAGGCTGGTCTGATCTAGGACCTTAAGGAATGAATAGAAAAAGCTGAAAAGTGAGAAGTAGTTATAATCCTAGCCCTCTTCTTCTGGAGAAGGGCTTAGAATGATCCAAGGGAAGCCAGACCCACATACTCTGTTTCTTTCAACATATTATTTAAGGTTTGGCTCCTCTAAGATTTTTTTTCCTTTTTCTTTTTCTCTTTTGGTACCAGTATTGGGGTTTAAACTCATAGCCTCAGCCCTTGCTTAGTTTTTCACTAAAGGGTGGCTCTCTACCACTGGAGCCACACCTTCATGTCTGGCTTTTTGCTGGTTAGTTGGATATAAGAGTCTCACAGACTTTCCTGCTCAGACGGGTTTTGAATAGTGATCCCATATCTCAGCCTCCCAAGTAGCTAGGATTACAGGTGTGAGTCACTGACACCCAACTCTCCCAAGATCTTCCATGGGTTTTATTGTTCACTATTCATTTTGTTTCTGGAATGCTCACTCCCCTTCAGATATTGTTCCTGCTTTTATTTCGCATCTCTCCAGAACATCCAGATAATCCTTATAGTAATAATAAAAAGCCTTCTTTACTTTTTCTAAGTCTTTGTTTCCTCATTCACAAATTAGAATGATTGATTATTATTACTTAAAATTTCTTTTGCTAGTCCTGGGGCTTAAACTCAGATCCTAGGCTCTGACCCTAAGCTTCTTAGTGTTCAAGGCTAGCACTCTACCACTTGAGCCACAGCACCACTTCTGGCTTTTTCTGAGTAGTTTATTGTTGATGAGTGTCTCACAGACTTTTCTGCCTGGGCTGGCTTCATATCATGATCTTCAGATCTCATCATCCTGAGTAACCAGGATGACAGGCATGAACTACTAGCACCCAACTTATTATTACTTTTTAATTTAATCCTTACAACTTTCCTCTGAGATCTGTATTATTGTCCTATTTTACCAATGAGGAAACTGAGCCAAAAAGGAAAATTAGTATCCTTATGATCAAGAGCCAAGTTAGACCTTGGACTAAGGCTCTCTCTCCCAAACTCCAAGTTCCAACAACTACATACTACTTTGAGCTGACATATACTTTCCTTCAATTTGTAATGTTAGCTATCTACCTTTGAGCAAACAGGAAATGGCTGAGGAGTATATTTAGTTTGGCATCATAATCCCTGGGACACTATCTTACATAATAGGAACTCAATAAATAACTGTAGATGAATATGTTGAAGATATATGTTAGATAATACCATCTCAAAGAGCAGAATAAAGTGCTTTTTAGAAAACCTCAGGGATCTTTAACCAGTCACTAGTTTGAAAAGAAGATACTATGCCACACTTAAAAGCCCTCACTGATCCAAATGGATCCCTCTCTCTTTCTGATCTGAGACAATCTATCTTAAATAGTAAGAGAGCTGAGTAATTGTCACACAAGAATATTTTTATTTATATTTAGTTTTAATGGAAAAAAGTATCTCCCCCAAATTAAGCAAACCATAAAAACAAACAAACAAGAACCTCAGAAAGCATAAGCAACATAGTCTTACGCTGGATATGTAGCTCAATAGAATGCCAGCCAAGCACGTGTAAGGGACCGAGTTTGATCCACAACATGCTTGTACACATGCATGTGTGCATGCGTGTGCGTGCGTGCACACACACACACAATCATACCTGGACTAGGTCTTTAAATAGTCAGAAGAAAAACACCAAGGAATGAGTGAGTCAAACAAAAGTCAGTTTGTGCTATTTTTAAGAGACTAAGAATGAGATTCCCAACATAACAGCAGCTTCTATTTTTAATTGTTTAACTTTGTTCATAACGCATAAATAATACTATAAATGATGGCAATTCCATAAGGTTTATTTAAATTACCAACTAGCTAATTTTCAATACATTTTGTATTTTTAATCGTTATTACCCTCAGCACTCATATGCGGTCAGAGGTCATTTTCAGTTTTTTGATTTGCGTGTTTTATTTTTGTTTTGTCCTCATTTTATAGTATTGGGATTGAAAACAGGGCCTGGTGCATGGTTGGCAAGCAGTAGACCACTAAAGTAAACCTCCAACATCATACTGAAGCAATTTTGAGAAAAATCTTCTAGGGTATCTTGTAGTGAATGAAAAGCCTCATTATTACTCAAAATATTACTTAGTAATACTAATGCTTTTAGTTCCATTGATTCCTTCTAGACCATGTTCCCAGATACCTTCTTAATGTACATAATTAATAAAATCTTGGGTTGATATAGAATTAGGAGATAAATGCACATTGGTTTTATTTCTTTCTTTATCCCAGGAGTATCACATTTGTTACTGTAGATAGCTGTGTCAGAGCTGTCTAGCAATGTCTCTATTCAAAATACATCACCATTTAATACACTATGAAACAGATCTACAGATGAAAGTTCCATTTTATGGAATTTATTTCATGGTAATGAACTCACTTTATTGCTACTTTTATTCTTGCCTCAGACATCAAGGAGGTACCCTCGTTTTTTATCCAGTTTGAAGCAAGAAATTTTTGCCTAATTTTGTCTCTATACTTAACAGAAGTTTAGTTTCAAAAGCCTTCTTAGATCTTTTTTAAAAAACTTTGCCACAAATAAAAATGAAACAACACTTATAATTTACATTTTTCTATTAAAATGATCTAAGGAAATACTACTGTCCAGTGCTAGATGAGTCATCTACACTAAAAAATTTTGTATGTTCCTCTCTCCCCATTTGTTACATTTTAATTCTTAACACATAAATTCATTGACCTCTTAGAAAAATTTCCCACACTGCCAGAGACCTTGTTCAGTCTTATTCTATCTCTACTATGTTGGGATTCTATGATTCTGAATGCATTCCAGAAAACAGCAGTGGACTGAGAAGAGTAAGTATGATAGAAAAATGTAAAACAAAGTTTCACTTCTGATCAACAAGGAGAAAAATTACACAAAAATCTTTCAACATTATTTACCAAATTAATGATTCTTAAGAATTCTTAAGAATCTACAGGCTGAAATTATGAAACACATAATTAATCTCTATGATTAATTCCAACTTCTCTAACCTAAAGTAGTAGTATCTCTTTATTGTACACTGAGAGCAGTGATTAACTGAAATATTTAATTTAATTCAATGTATCAGGAAGCTAAACAGAAAAACAATAAAGTTTTGTGAGAAATACAGAGATGAATACTACCTGGAGTTAATCCTTATGCAGTTCAAAATCAAGAATATATACTTTGTCTTGCTATATATTGCCCTGTAATATGTACTAGTGAGAAAACACACAAAGCGCTATGTTATGAGTCATGTGAAGGATCAGTGTATCTCCACAGAAGGAAATATCATTTAAGCAAATTGCTAGCTAACTACATCATCTGGTACATAATAATTTCCCATCAACATTTGCTATTGTGTTAATGTTAATTATTAAGATTTATTGCTACTCATGTGACATTACCTCTCTCCACTTCAGTCCTCTAATCTGGATGCAATGACAGCACCTATAAAATGAGGATAATTCACCTGTCCTGCTATTGTGTTTGAATATGAAATGTTTCCAGCAAACTTATGTGTAAATGTGAGGCTGTGCTAACTTTGGTAGGTGAGTCCTAGACAAACCAAGTTAGTCACTGACAGTGTGTCCTTAGGGAAATCTTTCTCCTGGACTCTTCCTCTATCTCTCCCTCTCAGTCCTTCCCCCGCTTCCTTCTCTCTTTCCTGTTTACCATGGAGTAGATAGCCTGTTGTTCTACCACTGTGATGTTCTGCCTTAAAGTGTGGGCCTAGAAACAACAAAGCAAAGAATAAAGGACTATGGCCTGAAATTGTGAGCCAAAATATATCCATTCTTATTAGATTGCTTCTGACAGATATTTTGTCACAGTGACAAAAAAGTACCTAATACACCTGCCTATTTCCCCAAACTGTGTGAAGATCAAAATATGAAGGTTATTGCTAACGTATTATATCTTTTGAATATCTAGTGTTGTACATGGTAGGAAATCAATAGAAATGTAGAGAAAGTAGAAAGAAAAGAAGGGAGGAAGGAATTATCTATCATTCCTTGTCATTGGTTTTACTTAATTATTCCTAGATTTATGTGTTTCAGCAATTATTTAACCTCTCTGAAATTTACTTTTTTTTTTTTAATCATATGGAACTATTTTTAACAAACCTTATTTTCTTTACAAAATAAAACATTGTGTGTAAAACAGAAAATTCTAATGCAAAATATTCTTTACATAAATTTGAACTTTGTATTGAAATGTTTATTTACTTATTTATTTGGCTAGCTTGCTTCTGTATTAGTAGGATATTAGAAAATATGTTAACTAGATACAGGCTGTTCCATTTTTTTATTTTTTATTTTTTGTCCATCATGGGGCTTGAACTTTGGGCCTGGGTGCTGCCCCTCAGCTCTTCAGTTCAAGGCTAGCGCTCTACCACTTGAGCCACAGCGCCACTTCTGGTTTTCTGGTGGTTTAGTGGAGATGAGTCTCATGGACTTTCCTGCTCGGGGTTGGTTTTGAATCGTGATTCTCAGATTTCAGCCACATTAGTAGCTAGGATTACAGTTATGAGCCACTGGTGCCTGGCTTCTGTTCCATACTTAAATAAAGAAAAAAACCCATATATTTTAATTTTTCAAAAAGAGAGAGTTTCAAACTTGATATATTCTCAGGTTCTCTATCTACTCTTCAATGTAACTGCAATTCAACTGAATTAGGAAAGAAAAAATTGAATCCCCCTTCTCTGAAAGGGAAATCTACTATTCTATTTTATCAGTGTTTTTTTTGTTATTTCTCTCTTCATTATACAAATATTTTAAGCTAAATTTATTCTGATAAGACAGAGAAATGTTTTTCTAATTCTCTTCCTGGCTTTCACACTTCTACTATGCTTACAGAAACAAAAGTAAGGAGTTTTTAATTCTCTTGGAGTCATATTAGAACCACTCCTCTGTCATTCCCACATATATTCTTGCATCTTTACAATAGTATTAAAGATTAATCTCAAGTAGGAAAATTCATAAAAGTGCTTCAAAAATCCACAAATAAATGTCAACTCACATTATGAGAAACATAATAGATGCTATTTAATTTAAACTCACGACACAGATGACTTTTACCAGTTAGCCCCAGTGGCTTTCCACCCCATCTTCAACTACTAATTCATGAGTCTTACATATAATATAAGCACATGATTAAGTATATCTCACAAAACAATAATGATAGCGATAACTTTACTCTGTATATCTAGCTCCTACAACAAAGAACTGATAATCAATTGATACTTTTTGAGCAAATAGATATGTAAAATGAATTGATTCTATTCAATAATTTGTAACGCCCCTTCTAGAAAGCAGACCAATCTAAAGAAACAGCTCTTGGAATTCAAACAGATTTTTTTTCATCTCTGATTTCATTAACATAGATCCTCAGAGGCAGTTTAGAGGAAAATTTGCTAGCTGGAGATTCTCTGTAATATCCCATAACCATAACCCATCCCATAAACACTCTCTCCCAGCTGAGAGGCTTCTAGAGATCGCTCCCATTGGAAGAAAAAGCATAGCACTTTCATCTCATAGTTCCTCCTTTCATTCATATCACCTCCCCAGTGCTGCAGCAGCGAGGGGAGCTAACTGAAAACACACAGTGATGAAGTTAGAGGAGAAGAATGTTGATTTTCATTCTGATAGACTTCTAGCCCTACAGGGAGTTTGTCACAGCCAAAGCACCTTCGTTTTGAATAAACAGCCATCAAGAAAAATAAATCATTTACTAAAATAGCTAGAGATTTGTCTTGCAGTATCAATGTTGAAGTCCCGGAAACACTAATAAATTTTAAATGTGTGAATTATGCAGCACTAATTATAAGACCTTTTTATCTTAGATATTGGATTGATGTGAGTGCATTATGAACTCATGAATATATGTTTTCACAAACCTAACAGTAAAGAACAAAACTGGGTTTCAAAAGCTATGAAAGTGCTAGGTACTGATGACTCATGCCTATAATCCTAGCTCAGCGCAGGGAGCTGAGATCTGAGGATTGCGATTCAAATGCCAGCCCAGGCAGGAAAGCTAGTGAGACTCTAATCTCCAATAAATTACTCAGAAAAAGCCAGAAGTTGTGCTCTGGCTCAAGTGGTAGAGTACTAGCCTTGGACACACAGAGGCTCATGGACAGAAACCAGGCCTCCAGGACTGGTAAAAAATGCAAAAATTCAAAAAAATTAACTGAAAGTATATACTCTCTCTCTCTCTCTCTCTCTCTCTCTCTCTCTCTCTCACACACACACACACACACACACACACACATACACACACACTCACACAGAAAACACATCCCATATCCATATACGTTATTGACATCTATATCTATATACCTATTCCTTGTTTAGCCATCACAATGCTTCTTCTGTAAATGTATGTTGATTTTATTTGAGAATGGTAGAGGGTGTTGTTATTCTGTAAGAATAATAGCAACAAACTATTCAAAGTATTCTTGACACAGACAAGGAAAATAAAATAATTGATTATATAATATTCCAATATCTACCTGATGCACTATATCCATAATGACTTTCTGAACATTTCTTTCATGCTTGAAATTAGGTCCAATTCTTTATCTTTATCATCTGCCCTCTCCTTACCTATAACCCTACATCCTGCTTCCTGTTCTCTTGAGTCTTTTGCTTAAGTCCTATCTGCCTTTTGCCTTTTGAGTCTTTGACCATGCCATTCCCTGTATCTAGAACATTTTCTTTTCTATCCATCTATAATCCTGCCTCTCCTTTATAGGTCAGCTTAGACATTTTCTTCTAGAAAAGCCTACATGAATTGTATTTTTCTCTGTCCTCAAACTGTATCACATACATTTATCACACGATGACCTTCATGTTTGTTAACTTCTCTCCATTTCCTGCTAGATTCAAAGCTCTTCTAAGGTAAAGAACATGTTGTAATCTCAACTAGATTACTAGCACCTAGAGCCTGGATATAGTAAGTGTTCAGTAAAAGCATATTAAAAACTTAAAGTGGATCAGGAAATGAGGTCAACACCAACATTCATGATGGTATCTATGGAAATTACTTAGTGTGAATTCTTCTGGTCTAAAGCCGCATGCACATTACAAGTGTCCTAGCTTCTTAGGCGTACCATAGGGTTGGAGATCCCCTCTAGAATAGCTTTATCTACCTACAAAGAACTCTACTTCAATGAAAACATTGTCAACTGGAAACATTCTCAAATGGGAATGCCTGCCAATGCATTCGTTGCCCTCAAAGAAAAGACTCACCTCCTCTGTCTCTTCAGAGAAAGCTTGCAGAATGTCCGTCTGCCTGGTGTAGTTGCCATTGGCGTCCTGCAGCCCTTGCAGAATGCGCTCTCGCAGAACTAGCACAGAGACCCGAAGCTGGTGCCAGAGGAGCTGCACTGCGTGAATGTCCACGATCACATTGACAGAGTAGGACAGCAGCTTCAGGGAGAACTCGGTCTCAAGGAGGGCATGGATTTGTTCAACGTGATCAGAAATGTCCTCACAAATATCCTGCAGTAAAGAGAGCAAAACATACAGGGACTACTTTAGTGTGTCCTGGGATAGGGGAAAGGTATAAACAGTTACTGTTTCACTTAACGCATGTTGGGTACTTTGCTTTATGTTGATCAGACACATAGTTGCAGACTATAATCTTATGCACTGGAACATACATCCATCCAGGGAAACTGATCTTTTACTAAATCACAAGAAATCGTACTGTTCTTTCAGGCATCCAAATTAAATGCTCAGCCAAGGTGAGAGGTCACTTTACCAGCCCAGTCTTTGTTCTCTGTGCTCTCTCTCTCTCTCTCTCTCTCTCTCTCACTCTCTCTCCATTCTATCTCTCTGTTTTCTCTCTCTCTAGTTCTCTCTCCTTTCTTTTTCTCAATTTGGGGCTCTCGGCTATTCTACTTGCTGGTGATGAGTTAAACAGAGCACATAATATATCTGGATAGAAGCATGATTCTGATATCTAGCATGAAAAGGATGAGGTAGAATGTGTGCTTCATACAGTTCCCAGAACTTCTCAATCAAGTCTTCAGTGTGAGGGGCAAATGTTACCCACAGGACAATTTAGTTTTGAAACTCACAATGGAAATCTGAATTTCCAATCTCATATTTCAAACACAATTGCTTTTTTAAGATGCAAAGCCAGAAAGACAAAATGCAGTTTTCAGAACCAGACATTTTAAGGAAAAACAATAGTAAATTAAAGTTTCATTCATTTTCATACGTACAATTAGGCAGCATAACTGATATTTGACTTATTCTCAAAATTATTCCTAAACTTATTCCTAAATTTCCACATGCAGTCAATAGCCAGAAATATGAAATGAAGGCAGTAGTAGTATTTACTTGAACAACTTAAGATACTATTACGGATAAAAATGATGTTGATGTCAGCTAAAAGTCCTTGGTTACTCATTTCTAGTTGTACATCAGTGACTTTTTTACATGTAGCTTTTAGCTATGACTTTCAGTTGGCTAAAATAAGCATCTGAGTTCTGGTTATTGTCAAAATAACCTTCCTATGCTAGAAATATAACCTTTTGATTTCGTGCATTTCGGCAACTCTTTACATTATTCTTCCATATTCCATTGACAAAGGCATCTGGTTCATCTTTTTTTCTCTCCCTATCTACCAAGCCTAGCATTACCTTAAGTAATTGCCATATTCATACTGATGAACTCACACCACCACAGTCTTGGATTTCTTTTACTTGACAACTCTTAGGACCTTTACGCTATTTCTACTGGGACATTTTCTGCCGTGGCTCTACTCTGTCATTAGTCTACCAATGTAACATTATCAAAAGGTCTTCTATGCCATCCACCTCTCTTTTCATGATTTTTTTCAGTCCTGTCTTCCACTAGAGTGCTCTTCTGCCTCACTCAGACCACTGGTCCCCTCTACCCCTTTTTTTCTCCTATACCACACCCACCTACCTTAGAACCTTTAGGGATCACTTCAGACATTGTTTTGGCAGTGTTCTCAATTCCTCATACCCTTGATTTTATTACTCAGACTTGTCAACCTTTGTCTCTTGAGGCTAACTTTGAACCTATGGATGCAGAATACTATACATACCATGGAGAGCAAAAGGCTTGGTACCAGACTGAACCATAAAATTACTGATATTCTGTTGTGTTGTCAATACTGTTTAAAGATGTTGCTTGCGGACATCTTTAAAGACTGTAAATCACAGTTTTCTTGCAAGATCAGACTATTCAGTTATTACCTGCTTGGGGGGGGGGGGGGAGGAATGCCTGACTAACTCAATCTGGTTGAGGCACTATATTGATACTCCAGACAATCTTGGACCTTCTATCATTATAAATGATAACAAAATGCTGAAACATGGATACAGATTGACCCATTGTAACAATGAGATCTATGACACTATGTTGAAAATGAACTTTACAACTTGGTGGGGGGGGCGGCAGGAGAGGGAGGAGTTGGGGAGGTGGGGAGGGAAGAGATAGTAGGGGGAAAACAAAGGAGGGCGTAACAATGCTCAATAGGAAATGTACTTTATACTCACATAACTGTAACCTCTCTGTAGGTATCTTTACAATAAAAAATATTTTAAAAATGATTTTTAAAAAACATAACCACAGCACCACAGTAGATCCAAATTAGGGATAAGGAATAAAAGAAGTGGTAATCTGATTCCTAGAAATTTCCTTCTTTTTCAGTGAGAAGTTCTGGTGACAACATGAATACCAATCTCCTTAAAACCCAGCCTTAGTGAAAATCCTAATCCCAGACTTGCTCAAGGAGAAGATGCCATTATAGTATGAGATCTCTTTTTCATTCTTTGGCCGCTGAGTAAAATTTCCCACTTGTTTCCAGGCATGTTTGTTTATATGCAAATGGTACTGAAAGGCAAATGAGCCTACAAATTCAGTAACAGCTTGTATAATCTTTACCACCTGCTCAAAATAGATAAAGAGGTATTTCTCACCTATCTTACTCCCATCCCCCAATATAAAAGGTTATATATAGCCTTAGCACCACTTAAACTCATGCCAAAACACATGCCATCCATTCTTCACAAATGATTTAGCTCCTTCATAATGGATGTAGGAATATGTCAGAGCCAGGCCATGGGTCAAGATAGAAAGGTAATTATCCATAAGGGGAAACAATCCATATGGGTTTCTAAAGTATTATTGGTGACAGTTAACTTAGACTTCCATATATAACCCAGCACTCACAGAAGCTGATGAATCCTGAAGAAAATAGCTTCCTCATAAATGCTTATATCCCTCTGTTGAGTATTTTACATACACAATCTCTCCTGAATTCTGAAACTGAATAATGCATAGCTTGGTGCAACTTTCTGTGGTCTATTAATGTATTTATTTTTATGGTTTGTACTGTGCCACCAGTTGTTTTGACAAAAGCTCTCTGGCTTTCTGGTTCTCTGTCTCTGTCTCTGTCTCTGTTCCTCCTTCCCAAACATGGGCTTTGCTTTGAACATTTGATGAGAATTTTGTTTATAGGAAGATGATTAATTCTAAACAATATACTTTCTAATATTAGAATCTCTATTTTTTTCTTTGCTATATAAAACATTAAACAAATACCTATAGACTAACTAGTTTGAAGTATTGGATATTTATAAGAAAGAAGTGAAGATTATGGATATTATGTTTATTTAATGCAAATAACTGGGCAAAGGAGACTTTAAAATCAATTTACTGAATGGCTGTCTCCCAGCAAGAATTGTTTGCAATTAAAAAGAGCCAAGAAATCTGAACGTACTTTATTAACAATGTGAAGTAAAAGCATGGGATTGGGAATGCTGAATCAACCTAACTGATGTATGTAAGGAATGACTGGTGTTCAGACCCAATTGTACATGTGACTAGAACAGATGGTAAGTGGAAAGTAGATTCAGCTCACATGGTTAAGCAGCTTAAGGGATAACAGATCTGCTAACACTGTAGTGCTACTCAGAGGAAACAAAATCATAATTTCAGAAAATAATCGTTTTTATTAATATAAATACAATCCCTTTATTTGTCTGCCTATATATGTATGCACATATACATGTATGTATATATTCATTTTACAGACCTATACGCTGACCTATACACCTATACAGTATTTCTCATCTCCTTACTGAGAGTATTAACAGAAGATAGCATATCATTCCACAACTACAAAGTTTAAGTAACATTTAAAGTTTAAGTAATATTTAGCATGGCAGACTGAGTAAATTGTATAGTGACTATAGCTCATAGCAAAATGTAATCAATCAGTCTAATTAGTGTTTATTTTGATTTCAAAGTTTTCCCTGTTTTGATAGAGAAGAGGGTACCATTAGGTAGAAAACTCAGTCTATAGAGAGAATAAGGTCAGTAGAGGGACTAAGATGCTAAGACAATATAAGTAACAGCTCATAGATCTCTTTCAAGAATGAACACCAGAGGGTTCTATAATGGGTTCACGAGTCATTCTTTTTTTTTTTTTCTTTTTTTTTTATTGTGAAAATACCGTACAGAGGGGTTACAATTACATGGGCAAGGTAATGAGTACATTTCTTATCAAGCATTGCAGCCTCCTCCTTTGTTTCCTCTTCTCATGCCTTCCCATCTCCCTCCTCCATCCCCCCACCCCCTCACCGCCCCCTCATCCCCCCTGAGTAACATATTCTGTAACAAGCTCATTAAGATAACTAAATCAACAGATATCCCTAAGAATAACAACAACCTTGTAATATCAGTCAAGATGCATTGTATTTTAATGTATTAGATAATTTGAATGGTAAATTCTTTGTACAACTCCTTAAAGATAGCAAAAATATAATATTTTAAAAAGCTAGGCACCAGTGGCTCATACCTGTAATCCTAGCAATTCAAAAGGCAGAAGTCTAAGGATCATGGTTCAGAGCCAATCCTGGCAGGAAAGTCTATGAGACTCTTATCCAGTTAATAGCCAGAAGTGAAGCTGTGGTTTAAGTGATAGAGTACTAGCCTTAAGCACAAAACCTCATGGAGAGTGTCCTGAGTTCAAGCCCCAGGATAAGCACACATATACACAGAAAGAGTAACAACTTTGTTTTAAATTGAGGTAGTCTTTAATGTCCTTTAAATAATAATTTTGTAGATACTCATATTGCCCCTAGATCAACCCTTAATGATTGAGGACAGAAGAGTAATATTATTAAACATAATGACCTCACTGAATACATTAAAGTCTACTGTGCGATAATCAATGGGCTGGTATGTATAGTGAGAAATGACTGTTCCTATGGAGTTTCATGCCTGGTGGAGGCAGGTAACCAGAAGCTACTGTCAGAAAGATAGATATTCATTATGAGTAAAAAGGTGAGGAAAAGATACCTGTAGGAGAGTGGAGGAAAGAAACAAGGATGCTTTTCAAAGGAAGTAAAATACTTATCTTGAAGAAGAAAATCAGGAGGTCAAGACAGAGAAGAGCATTTCAGGGAGCAGAAATATGACCTCAAGCTATAGACCTGAGGTTTAGTGGTGATATATGAGATGTGGAACCAAACTTAGAATCCACAAAAGAAAAAAATTAAACTTCATCAAAATTTGAAACTTTTCTTCTCTGAAAGACTTTATTTTGGTGGGTACTGAGGCTTTCTGTTCTTGGTTCCCTTGCTTGTGGCTGGTGCTTTACCACTTGAGCCACACCTTCAAGTCCTGCTTTTATCTAGTTAACTGGAGGAAGAGTCAGACTTTTCTGGTAGGACTGGTGATTCTTAGATATAGCCTCTTGGGTAGCTAGGATTAAAACCATGCCAGCTGAAATGACATTTTTAAGAAAAGGAAAAGATAAGCAAAGATTAGAGAAAATATTTGCAAGTAAATATGCAACAAAGAACTTATATCTAGACTATATAAAGAACTCTCAATAATTATAAAACAGCCATTCAGGGTCTTTTATTGTTCGATATGCATTTTTGGATTGCCTCTTCTATTTCCTTGAAGAATGAGGTTGGAATATTGATAAGTATTGCATGGAATTAGTAGATAGCCTTGGAAAGTATTGCCATTTTCACGATGTTGATCCTTTCAATCCAGGAGCATGGGAGGTTTTGCCATTTTCTAAGTTCTGTTTTGATTTCCTTTTTCAGGTTCTTAAAGTTTTCATCATAGAGGTCCTTCACTTCTTTGGTTAATACCTAGGTATTTTATTTTTTGTGGGGCTATTATGAATGGAGTTGCTTTCCTGATTTTAGCTTTTCTCATTGTTGGTATACAGAAAAGCTATTGATTTTTGAGGGTTAATTTTATACCCTGCTACTTTGCCAAAGTTTTGAATCAGCTCGAGTAATTTGGGAATGGAGTCTATGGGATTCTTTAAATATAAAATCATGTCATCTGCAAAGAGGGAGAGTTTTACTTCTTCTTTCCCTATTTGGATCCCTTTTATGTTTGCATCTTGTCTTATTGCTGTAGCTAGGCATTCTAATACTAGATTGAAGAGAAGTGGAGAGAGTGGACATCCTTGTCTCGTTCCTGAGTTAAAAGGAAATGGCTTCAGTTTTTCACCATTAAGTATAATGCTGGCTGTAGGTTTGTCATACACAGCCTTTATTGTATTGATGAATGTACCCTGGATTCCTAGTTTTTCCAGTACCTTCATCATATAGGGGTGTTGGATCTTGTCAAATGTTTTTTCTGCATCTATTGAGATAACTATGTGGCTCTTATCCTTGCTCTTGTTGATGTGATGAATTATAATTGATTTGTGTATATAGAACCAGCTTTGCATCTCTGAAATGAATCCTGTTTGAAACGACCCTTAACAGAAAGAACAGTGCTGGAGGAATATCAATACCAAATTTCAAACTCTACTACAAAGCCATAGTAGTCAAACAGCTTGGTACTGGCACAAGAACAGACCTCAGGACCAATGGAATAGAATTGAAAACCCAGAAATGAACCTACAGACCTATAACCATCTAATCTTCGATGAGGGAGCTAAAAAAAATAGAATG